TTTATAACAATGATCAACAAGACGGGCGTTTAGTAGCTCGAATAGTCGATTACGATCTTGTAACTAAAACAGCGACTGTTTCAGAAACAATTCCAATCATTGGAAATAAAACAGGGAACAACTACAGACACCCTCATTTCATTCGATTAAAAGACCGAATCTTACTTATATTCAATGGTAATACGCCTGACTTACTCGTTTATGAGTCGCTTGATAATTGCGCGACATGGCAACTAAAAACACAAATTCCAACAACAATTGCAGAGCCTTGGGCGCTGGCACTTGATTCAGTTGTTCGAATTGAAGAAGGTATGTACGCTGGTCGAATTGTTGCTGCATTATTCAATAGTCCTGGTCTTTCAAAGCTTGAGACTGTCTATAGTGATGATGATGGAGTGACTTGGAAGCGCGGTAAAACTATTAATAATGCAGAACATTTTCCAACTTATTCGAATTTAAACGAGATCTCTGTTGCATGTGATGCCCACAATGATCTGATTTTTGCTATTCGTAACGAAACACTTGCAGTTGAAGCTCGATATATCATCTTTGCAAAATCCACAGACGGTGGGCACTCATTTCAATTCTTTAATCAAAACATAAAAACCCCAACGGTCGGGGTACAAATAGGAATGAAGCAAATCGCACCTAACTCCTTTGCTGGCGGTGTACCTAAAATATTGGCAACACATCCAGTTGGCAATAATCGAACGCAATTCATCATTAGAGCCTCATATGATGGGTGTAAGTCATGGGCTTTTGACTACAAGCCTTTTCTTATGACTGAAATGGTTGGGTACTCGTCTTTAATTCCACTTTCCGCAAAAGACTATGCATTGGTTGTAGAAAAGGGGCCAATGTTGAAAGAGCAATCAATCGCAATTAAATTTTTAAATCTTAAGGAAATTATGTAATGGCTACAGTTATCCAGAGCAATAATGTGTATGTTGGTACAAAATCTTTACCTAATATTATTGATTCAATCACTTCCACATCTGCTAAAACTGAATATTTGAAAAAACTACTAGCAATTGTTAATTCAGACTCAACATACATTACAGATGTGAATTCAGATGCAATTTTTAATACTTTAAAATTACATCGTACACGTGTGATTAGTGATGGAGGTATAGTTTTATCATTAGCAATCACATTGAAAGCTATTGTATTTGCATTTAAGAACTCTCTAACTTCAAGTATCTATTCTGCATATTCGCCTGAATTTGGTATAAAAATGAATGGGTCCAGTGTAATTAAAATTTATGACTTGAGTGGCAGGGATTATGAGTTACTGTCTGGTTCTTTAGAGCGATCAATAGATGGAGCCATGAATGTTGTTAAAAATTTAATAACCACAACAATGATTTCAAAGCAAAACAGTATCGCTGGTGGCACTGGCATGATTCTGGGTGCATGTGTACATGATGCAGATATAGCAGCTTCATCATCGTTAACAGTCCGTGGTATGTACATGTCAGAAAATGCAGCAGCAACTGGAACAGGCTTAGGATATCTAGAAACGAATTATGGCGGACAAGCGCGTTTGTACTACAAGCGTGCCGCAGATGATGTTATGACGAATTTACCTTACGATCAGTCAGTAAATTATAAAAAGTTTGCAGGCTTGGTAGGTTATCTGTCGAATTCAAATAATCGTGTAGAGATCTATGAAAATGGGGTAATCAAGGCTGGTGCTACAGCGCCTCAAAAAGATATCTCTGCATCATCAATTTATCCAGCAATGTCTATGCTTTCATTGAATTCTCTTTATAGCGAAAGCTGGATTATTAAATCAACATCTCAAAGTTTAGCAATTGCACTAAGCAATCATTTAAATAAAAGTTCTTAACTAATGAAACTTAAGAGCACCCAAATGGGTGCTTTTTTATTGCCAAAAAAAAGGGGGTTACATGTCTGATACACAGGCAACAATTGACGCGTCAGTAGCTATCGCTGCAAGCAAAACCGCAGCATATGGTGGTAGTACTGCAGGTGCTATTACTGCATGGCTTGGGAGTATTGATTTAGCATTTTGGATCAGTATTTTGATTGCAATAGCTGGCTTAATTATGAACTGGTATTTCGCTCGAAAGAAAGATAAGCGTGATGAACTAGAACACAAGGCCTATATCGCATCACTACAAATCAAGGGGAAGATTGATGTCAAACAAGACTAAAATATCAGTAGCATTATTGGCAGCTTCGGCTGCTTTTTTTACGTCTTTAATTGGCTATGAGGGGTACAAGTCAAAGCCATATTTAGATAGTGCAAAAGTGGCAACGATCGGTATCGGGTCCACATCATATGAAAACGGCACAAAAGTCAAAATGACAGACAAGCCGATTACTAAAGAGCGTGCTGTTCAAATTGCCAAGGCTCACATAGCTAAAGACGAAGTAGCATTTCGTAAGTCTTTGCAAGGTGTGAAGCTTACTCAGACTGAATATGATGTGTACCTAGACTTCGTTTACAACTATGGCCAAGCCAACTGGAACGGCTCATCGATGCTTAGAAATCTCAAAGCAGGGCAGTATAAACAAGCTTGTGCATCTTTGTTGAAATACAAATACGTTGCCAAGCGTGATTGCTCAATACGTTCAAATGGCTGCTATGGAGTTTGGACACGCCAACAAGATCGTTATAGCAAATGCATGGGGGTGCAATGATGCCAATAGCCATAATCCTGTGGAAGTATAAAAAATGGATCGCAATCGCGATCTTTATTTTTTTATACCTGGTGCAAATTGCTTACACAAACCATCTAAGTAGAAAACTTCAAGAAGATGAACAGAAATGCGAAGCCAAGATCCAAAAACTTAAAGATGATCAGCAAAAAGCTTTAATTGAAAAACAAAACAAAATAAACAAAGTGAGCGCAGATTATGAGCAACTTAAATCAGAACAACGTGTCAAAGTCGAAACAGTTACACGTGAAGTGCAAAAGATCATTGAGCGCCCTGTTTATAGCAATGTTTGTATTGATGCTGATGGCCTGCGCAACATCAACTCACTTATCCCCGACGATTCCAGCTAACTTAGTTGTACCTTGCCCTAAACTCTTAAAACTTGAGTCAGGGCAGGGTAAAGAAATTACACTTTGGATCATTGACACAGTCGCTAAATACAATGAGTGTAGTGTTTTGAATGATGTGAAGAATAACTCAATGAATTAGCCTTAATCTCCCTGCTTATCTAAGAGGATCTTCTTGCTACTCTTCGATCTTGAGCTAATTTTAATTGTGCTTTATTAGTAAAAATTCGTTCCAATAAAAGAATACTAAAATCCATTAAGTCTTCTGCTTCAACTTGTGCTGTACTGCCATCATGTGCAGCATCATTACCATCAAGTCGAATTTGATGTGCGAAATCTCTTAAATCTGAAGGGATTAAAAATTTATCAATCAGAAAATTAATACGATTATAAAGTTTATCCATTTCTGCATTTTTTGGTTTTTGATTCTCATCTGTATTAGATGTGATGAATTCTTGCAAAAGCTCCTTAGTGGTTATATCTAGACATAAGCGCAACATGGATGCACAAGCAATGTAACAGGCATTTGAGTAACATATTGAAGCCTCATCAAAGGCTATCTTAATTTTTTCAGGGACATGGTTAGGACAAGCTCTTAAACTATCATTTGGAGGGATAATTTTTCCAATTAAAACAAATCCATCTAATAAATTAATATTTTTAATTTGTTTTAACTCATTACATTCATTTAGTATAGATCTTAAAGTATAATTTGCATCATGTCGTCTAGCTAACCTAAATACAGTTGGTTTATTGCAATGGCTGCAAACCAAAAAACAATGCCATGTGGTTTCATCTATTTTATTAAAACCTAAATTATCAAATCTAATTTTATTTGAATTACAAAAAGTACAATTGGATACCAAAAAGCTCATTATTCAACTCTAAAAATTATTATCAATATGTCTATCTTAGCAAATATTAAATCAAGAAAAAATAATTATTAGATTGTGAAAATGTCATTATTTATTTTTAATTGAGATAGTTCAACTAGCAATCAACAACCTATCCCAACTAAAACTCACTTAACCTTAATCATCCCATTCTTAGTAAAGTAATTCTTAGACAGCATATCCCGACTCATTGACCATTTTCTATCCCTAAAATAGCATGGTCCTACAGAAATCTTAGCTTTACCAAATTTAGTCTGAATTTCTTCATAGGCTTGCATCAAATTTTCATTATCAATTCTAATTTGATGATCTGAAAGAAGGTCAGGGATATGGTTCGATTTTTGAATTAAATCTGAATAAAAAACACCGCATTTCTTATATTTGACGTCTGGTTTATAAATTCTTTCCAGCAGCAAGTAAGCTATCTCAACAAGATCAAGAACACAATCAGTTGGTTCTGCAAATTTATATGTTTGTGCTTTGCTGTAATATGGTACAGATTGATCAAAAGGATTCGACTGAACAAAAGCCGTAATAACACCGCACAATAACTTTTCTTTTCTCAAGCGCCCAACAGCATCTTGCACATACTTAGCCATTGCTTCTTTCAAGTCCTGCAGCTCTGTGATTTTCACGCCAAATGATCTGCTTGCAACGATCTGCTGCTTAGGCTTCGGTTGGTCATCGATGGGCATGCAAGAAATGCCCTGTAATTCTAAAACAGTTCTCTGCATGCATACTGTGAACATTTTGCCCATGATAGGTGGATTAGCTTTGGATAGTTCTAAAACAGTTTTTATCCCCATATCATTCAATTTTTTATTCTGCTTTCTACCCACGCCCCAAACTTCACCAACTTCTACTAATGACCAAAAGTAATCACGGTATTTCGGATCCATGGTTGCTAGATCGCACACCCCATTAAATCGCTTTCCTTTCTTAGCCATATGGTTGCCAATTTTAGCCTCGGTTTTACTACGGCCAATTCCAATGGAGACTGGCAATCCGATCCATTCTTGAATGCGCTCGCGCATGCCTTGGCAATACTCCACAAGATTATAGTTGTGTTTAAAGCTTGTGAGATCGAGAAAACATTCATCAATTGAATAGATCTCTTGCTCGTGTGGTGCAACATACCCGGCTAAGATTGAGTGAAATCGACGCGACATTTCAGCATATATCGCATAGTTGCTTGAGAGCACTTGAACATGGTTTTTCTGAACTACATCTTTGATCTGAAAAAGTGGCACACCCATTTTAATGCCCATTGCTTTTGCTTCGTTACTTCGAGCAACAGCACACCCATCGTTATTTGATAAAACTATAACAGGGACATTGTTTAACTTGGGGTTAAAGAAACGTTCACACGAGACATAGCAATTATTGATATCAATAAGAGCAAATATCTTTTCTTCATGTTTCATTTGAAGTTCTTAATAACTTTTGTGACAACACCCCAAATTACTAATTCTTGTTCTGAGCGAGGAAGAATTGGCTGATACTCAATATTTTCAGGTTTTAGCCAGACTGCAGGTAAATTTTTAAGTTCATTTTCATTATGAAAAATATCAAACAATTCTTGATGAGACATTCTTTGTGTAATCATCATTCTTTTCACGGTGAAATCATTATCAATGAATGCAATAACAATGTCTTGATGCTGTGAGCGAATGCTTCTATCAACTATTAAATAGTCATTTATATCAATTCCAATGTCTTTCATCGAGAGTGATTCAACTTGAACAATGAATGTGGCTTCTTTATTTGAAATAAGCAGATCATTCATGTCGACAGTTTTATCTATGTAATCTTCGGCTGGGGATGGGAAACCCGCAGCAATTTTGTTTAAAACTAAGGGTATTGAGGCTTTAGTTATTGCTTGAAATGACAAGATTTTAGAGATGTCAGAAATTTGACGAGACTTTGAAGAATATTTTTTTATATCAATTACTTTAGAACCGTTCAAGTGATTTAGATTTGCGTCTTTAAGCCTTTGAAGTTTAGCTTTTGAGAAGCTTGAGTTTGATTTAATATTCATAAAAAATATCACTTGAATAAGTTACGTATTCAAGATTTTAGATTGTATGGTTTTAAATTTCAAATTTAAAAGCTGTGGATAATCAGTCTTAATTTAAAAAAGGTCACTTTGTTTAGCTACTTCTGATGAATGGTCACGCGGAAAAGTCACAAACTCATCACGCATTTCAAAGAAATATTCATGAGCGTTTTCTTTATCAACATTCAACCAGTCTTTTCGATACTCTTCAGGAATTACAATGATTGATCTTTTCTCGTCATTTGGTGCATGAAACTGCTTCATGAAAGGATGATTGTCTGAATTGATCGTGAGCATTGAAAATGATCTGACTTTAGAGCCTTTAATCACAGCATCATCATAGATTCCAGCTACAGTGAAAGGTTGGCCATCTTCTCGCTTAATTGTGTACCAGTGTGGTTTTCCATCAATGTACTTGGGCTCATAGAATTCTTGAACTGGCACCAAACAGAATTTGCTGTACTTCCAAGCATGTCGAAAACTTGGTTTCTCAGCTACTGTTTCAGTACGGGCATTATAAGTATAAGAGCTAAACTTAAAATCTTTAGCCCAGCTCGGCAGTAATCCAAACTTACCGAAATCTAAATCAAAGTTTTTCATAATAATGGGGGCATGGTAACCGGGATAAACATGTGATTTTAGATCAAGCTCTAACTGATCAACTTCGACATCAAGTAAGGCGAGGGCTTCTCTGGTGGGAATTTCATAGTTTGAGCACATTTCTTATTCTCGACATGAAAAACTGAATGCTGTGTATAAATACCATAGCCTTTATATTTGTAGAAAGGTGCACCAATTTGTACAGTTTGCTTAATGTAGAAGTAGAGCCAGTTGTTCATCATTTGTTCTAATTGTTAGTTGTGTTAAAATAAATATATCAAGGAATAGAATCCTACTCACTTTTATTTTTTACGGTAGTTAATACGGTATATTTTAAAATGAGTATAATAAAAACATTTTAAATCATATAGATAGTGTGTAATTCTTGTGTCCGCTGGGCGTACCATCTTGCTGTTTCAATTTGTCTCAATAACACCTATATTAAAGACATTGATAGAATTTATTGTCTCAGTTCATCGTATGATGTATGTCCACTGCTCAATTTTTTAACGGTACTTTATACGGTATACCGCAAAATCCAATAAAAATGTACCCTCAAAATGGCTAAACTCGTTGTAAGTCTCACAGACTCAAAAATAAAAGCTTAAATTTCGACTCATAAGAAAAATCTAGAAAGTTAAAAATGATGGCGGTGGCTATACCTTTATAGATGGCTTAATTAGAAGATATTGTTATTTTGACTATATAACAATAAGACTTATCAAAAAGCATGCAATTCTAAGCATTCATATTTCCCCAAACTAACGCTACTGGTGATGTAAAGCATTCAAAATAGGTCTGATTCATTTCCAGCCAATGTATTTTTAAAGCTGTTAAAAGCCTGCTTAATCTCAAGCAAATGGGTTATTACAGAAAATAAAAATCGATGTATAGCTCATATTAATTAGCCAAAGCTATGTAAACAAAAATATTTATACATCAATGCGGTGTACAACAAAACAATTATACAGATAGGACATTGCATTAAATGGTTGAAAATCCGCTTAAGAGGACAGCGTCATGAACTTAGTCAAAATTTGGAATAAGACAATCAAAGGTAAGCTCTACGTAGTTGGCGATATTCATGGTTGTTACGACTTGCTGATGAGTCGCTTGATTGAGATAGGCTTTAACTTTGAAAACGATTTATTGGTTGCTGTTGGTGATCTGGTTGATCGTGGTATTCAAAATATTGAGTGTGTGAATTTAATCGATCAACCTTGGTTTACTTCAATTCGAGGGAATCATGAGGACTTATGTATTAAAAGTTTGTTTAATGAGTCCTTTAGCCGTTGCCATATCGCCAATGGGGGAGAGTGGTTTTACGATTTGGATGCTCAAACTCAACATAAAATTATAAACAAATTTAAGCAACTACCGATTGCACTTGAAGTAACACATAACGGTCGCAAGTTTGGCTTTGTACATGGACATATTGAGCAAAATGATTGGGAGTTGTTTAAGCATAATCTTGATGATTTTGATGCTATCAGATATGCAATTGAAGCTAAGCGATTACCTACAGAAGCTGCAATGTGGGGTAGAGAACGCTTTGATTTAGAGAATCTGAAATATACTAAAGTTCAAGCTGTGGATATGGTCATCATGGGGCATACCGTCACAAAAATGCCTATCAAGCGAGATAATTGCTACTACATTGATACAGGTACAGTGTATTGGGGAAGCATGACAATTTTAGACTTGAGTAAGGTTTTAGAGGGATTAGAATCAACATCCCCATGAAAGTTATGAATTGATCAATATAAGCTATTGATTGGGACTATTTGTAATTTTGAAAATTGAAAAAATATAAAAGTAATTTGAACACTAAAAAGAGAACTGATCTTTTGGAAATGCTTTAAATAGAGTTGCTTTGTTGGTGAAGTTTTTATAGCCAACCACTCGATAAGATCGATCCTAAAAAGCATAAATTAGCAGCCAAATATAAGCTACTAAAGCAAAACAAGTGTTCATTAAATCACTTGTAATGCTTTGATTAAAAATGTATTTATAAGTTTTTTTATTTTCTTTTCAACCTTTATATTGAGTATTTTTCACCAATTGAAAGCAAGCTATAGCACTTGTTATATATTGCCACTGACAAATAAAATCAAACCCTAGTAAAATAGTAGGTATTCCTTTTATCACCGAATCATCGGTTTTTGCCTGCATTCTTTCCCCAAAGATGCAGGTTTTTTTTGCCTTAGTGTTTAAATTATTTATAGCATAGCCTTAGTGGAATATTTTTTAATAAAATCCTTAAGCGGCTAAGGATTTAGAATTTTGCTCAAAGTTCATAAAATAGAGCTGAATGCGGTAGTATAGTGATTAACGACAAGAGTAATCATTACGATGAATGAAACCTTTACATATTTGTATACCCACGTGGGTATATTTGGGTCCTTACCTACACATAAAGTGTTTACAAGTGATAAGAGTGATAAAACAAAATTAATTTTTGCTGATAATACATTTGTTTACAGTTTGATTTCTTCTTGGACTTTAAGTAACTCGGATTTTGATAGTGGAAAAGCGACATGGAAAGAAGAACCAGCAGATTATTTGGAAAATGAAATAAAAAAATTAGCGATTTATAAAGCGAATCATCCCTTATTTATCACTGAATCATAAGTTTATGTAGTGACTAGAGTTAAGTCACCGATGTTTTAAGGATTGATGAAAGATATAGCAAAATATTGAAGAATGCCTTACAAAGATATGAGGCATTTTTGATCGCTTAATTTTTCTTAATTTGCCAAAAAAATGTCATAAATGAGTGCTATATTGAATAAAACAATTGAGGGTAGCCAACATGGGTATTAATCTAAAAGAACTCAATAAGCAAATTGATGATTTTAAAGAAATTAAGGATCCACAAAGATTAATTATAGGTTATAAAACTTATTCTAAATTAATGAAAGAGAATAAGTTTTTAGATAAAATCAGCAAAGATGCAAATGACCCAATGATTAGATATTATAAAGAGATAAAGATAAAAATAGTCACAGAAAAGCATTTTTTTGAGATTGAGTAGATAATTAAGCAATATAAGTTGAAATAGGTTGTAAATAATGAAGTTTATGGTGAGGCGCTTAAAGCGTCTTTTTTACGCCAAAAATTGCTATATTATATATAGTTAAACTATAATGCTCTAAAAGATATTTATAAGGTAAGAGGTATTTATAAGGAGGAGAGTAGATGTAATTATCATAAAATGTTTTACTATTTATGCTCATTATAGAGTCTTAGATTTTAAAGTGATTTATTTATATTCATGTTGATGATTGAAAATTTCACGTTATTAGTGTATAAAAAAGCAACAATAATAAAATAAGGGTGATTACATGATATCTAAATCTATAAACATCGCATTCTTCTTTTCTATGTTTATTGTTCTTACTTTGCTTATACATTTATTTGGTAATATCCCTTCTGGGGTATGGGTGTATAAGTAAATACAAATGGATCTAAAAGCTCATCAAAAGGTGGGCTTTTATGAGTTTTGATGTGTTGAAATATATTGAAAATAAATTTCCTATCATGCTACTGATCTTTATGTTGATAGGTGCTTAAGGATATTTTGTTATTTAGCAACTTGGATCATGGCATAGAGATTAGCGATGTTTGGTGTTTAATATGATGTTGTGGAT